ATTTTTTATAATATTGATTTTATTTCTTCACATCGTCTGTCAAGTGGAACAACAAATCATCATTGGTATCAAACTGGTTTAAAATCATTTAATACAAAATCTATGTGGAAAGAACAGAATTATTCTATTCATCCTGATTCTCATGAACGAATTGAAGGAATTAAATGGCCAAATGTAAATGAAATGATTCAATGTGTTTGTCAAGCACACACAAAATTATGTCCTAATGTTCCAATTATAGGTTGGGATGTTGCATGGACCAATGAAGATAATCCATTAATGCTACTTGAATTAAATATTTCATGTAATTTTTTCAATGGACATTTTGATGCAAAAGAATATACTAATTTTTGTTATGAGTGGTTTCATACACTTGATATTTAAATAAAACAAATAAATATGATCTGAAATCAACCTTTTTGCATGTATTGACATCGTAAAAATTTCACGACCGAGAAATGTTCTAGAACAATGACGTATATTTATATAAAACTTGTTTCTACTTTTAAAGAATGTTTTTTTAATTCATGATATAAATCATGAGAATTATGAAATCTATTTATCACTCAAGATGACAATGAATCATATTAGTTGGAACTTACATTCAAGAATATGTCTTTGTTTTTTTATATAACTTCATGGCTTTATTATCATTAGTCGTATATAAATTTTTGTTTTTTGTTTCCCGATCTAATGCCATTTTATTTTGCTTTTCTCCATACGATACATTATTTCCACCACGATTTATTGTTACAAATAAAATCAGCAAAAAAAACATTCTCATAAGTAAGAAAACTAGAATGATCATATGCTTCATATTCGATACGTGTAAAAGTCGATATATAATTGATCATGGTACATTAATTAGAAATATGTTCGTAGCCAAGGATAAATGTTATCTGTTTGTGATTTTTAAAATGATTTCTTACAATATCGTAGCACATATAGATGTGTCAGATAATTTCAATATCACTTTGTTTACAATCTAACATGAAGTTAGGTTCGGCCAGAAAATAATCAGAGTAGCAATGCCTAATTGACTATGTTATTCGAAAGGTATCCACAATGTACTCATTAGGCTTGAGCGTCAGTACTATTATCTAAATAATGATCATGAATAAACAAGCAACGACTGTTTGTCTCGGGTCACTAGCCCAATAGAATGCTAACTACGTTGTGGTATATACCTGCTTTTGTCGCTAGTATGTGATTAGTTAGTATGTATGGAAAGCTCAAGTAATTAAGCGCAAGAATTCTGTATCAGGTCACTCTTCTATCTAAAGTTACAGCTAGTATTAGTTGTGAAGAAGATATTGAGCTATTGAATCTACTGCTGAGTAGTATCTAATGGCACAACGTAGACGGAAAGTAGGAGTATTCTTCCTTTTCACGAAATAAGGGGATGCATATTAAAATAAATAAATTGATTATTTAAATCAGGAATAGTTTGAAACCGAAATTTCATGCTTGCATTAAATTTGATATCAAAAATTGAATCACCCAGACTGGATAGTGCGATCATCGAGTTAATGAGTTTGTCAATATCAAATGTGAGAATGCTAGATAAGGATGGAGTTCTTCTTTCTTATCTTACCGACATTTGATCTGATTTTTAAAAGAAAACAAATTTATCAAATAACAATTTACATCAATGTTGCCAGATGTTTTATTGAAAAAGATTTATATTCGAAGCTGTTGTTTAGTAGCCATTGATCGTTCTATATGGATAATACTATTGAAACTAGAGATTTGATAATTTATTGTGATATTTGTTCATCATATTATTTATTAATTTGTTTCACAAGAACGAAAATGATTAGCATGTTATGAATCCATCAAAATATACTTAGCAGATAATTATGAGAGAATATTGAGATTTATTTATTTATTTATTTATTTTCTAAGGTTTATTAGATTTACTTTATTATAACGTATAACAGATTTTAATTATGCCAGACACATGATGAATTCCATAAGAGACAAATTTTCTTGTCAGTTTAACTCGTTACAGACCATTTTGTCTTTGCTCTCACTATAATCTTCAATCATATTTTTACTTGAAATTAAAATAAACATCAATACGTAAAGTAAAATGTCCACAAAATAGCTCTTGGAATCAATAATCTTTTGACAATCAGAATGTAATATAGTGTATCAACAATTATTACTAATACATTCGTCGTATGAAATACAATAGGTGTTTTACTTTGGCATAACTGATATCGCATTTTCGGAGTGTTTTTCTCCATAACATTTTAATTTTATGTATTTCAATGAGTTGCTTATTTATGTATTCGATTACTTCACTTGTTTCTCATGTTTTTTTTTTAATAATTAGACTCATGAAAGCAATACCTTCATCACAATTCACTCATACCTACATTCTCATGATATTTCTTATTGAATCGGATATAAGCATGACTTTATATGCATTGCCCTCGCACCAAATGAGAATGACGACATTGCAATACTTTGCTGATACTGTTTGATTACAAAAATGAAGTATGGAAAGTAGAGTTGTTAAATTAAGTCTATATTAACAATTTGTTGTACATCGAAGAGTATGAGACGACAAGATAGAAAAATACTAAGAAAACTTCGAAGAATTCATATAGTGAAGAAAAACGTAGTAAGAATTTTTGATTTTTCTATGCTTTATATAAAATAATGTTTTAGTATTCCTCAATTGGGTTTTAGCTTGTCACAATGTATATTTTCTTTGAGATATGAAGACGGTATTTTAACAATGGTGGATATTTTTTCAAACATTCATAAACGTACCCAGAAAAAGAACGCTTTCTCCAATTTACAAATTAGTTCATAGACGTTATGTATTTAGTTGTCTTATAGGTGTTGTTTTTTTCCGGTATTGTCTCTTCACAGAATAATTATAGATTGAATAATGAGAGCTTTTGAATTCGTGATATCTACCCAATCAAGTCTAACAATTTTCTGAGGAACTTCTGATTTAATAGAATAGCTTCTTCATAAGACCTTTGCATGACTTGAAGCAACTCGCTAAGTACTTATAGTAGTAACACATTGAGCTAAACGTCATTTTTGTTTTGAAGAGCAATAAGACATGCGACAGAAAGTAAGATAATGTACGAATTGTTTTTCATTGCTTTCAAATGCTGTGACATAATTAGATGTCAGATTTTTTTTTTTTCTTTACAACTTTTATAATTATTTTCAAAAGAAAACAGATTATTTCGTTTTATTGATTTTTTATTCTATGAAAAACTATTTGTTGTAAAATAAAATGTTCTTGCTTGTATTTTTTTATCACGAAGATCTTTTTAATGAATCATTTCATGGAAAAATATGCATGATAAAAGATTTTCATAAATGTTCGAACAAAGTTACAATTTTTCAAATGAGACATCATATACAGTTTTATATTGATGAACATATTTTGAATGATCTTAAACAGTCAGTAATCGAATTCAATTAATAACATATCAACAAGTGAAAATCTTACGAAAAATATCTTGTTTGCAAAGCGATTATTTTGTTTTCGATTTCTCAAATATTAAACGAGAATGTATAGGACATAGGTTGCTTATCAATGATGCAGTGTATTGTTTTGTCCATTTAGCTACATATAATTAGCATTGTTCATTTAATTGTTACTTTCACGTTTTCGAGACTACTTCTCAATTGATTGGTGTTTTGAAATAATTCGAGAGATAATGATTTAAATAAAAAAAAACCTCGAAATAGTGTATTCCACAGCAAACCAATTCGATATGATTTACCTGTCAAGATGTCAGGTTCTCTTTTTACTTTGCAAAAGAGAATTATGACAACATTATTGCCAAATATGATTCAAGTTAAAAGTAATAATTATTTACTTTATCATCAGATATACTTGAAACAATGGTGGTTAGATTTGAATGGCTCATCCAGATTTTGTCGCATTATTCCTAGATAAAATTTCGTTTAGTATGCGACTCTTCTAGATCATGATCGCCTAGTCAACTCTCATTTTCAGAATCTCTGATGAGCTCGCTGGAAGTTACAGAACTAGTCCTCAGCAACTCCTGATTGCATCTCTAAGAAGTTCTTAGGAATTCTCTGATTTTCAGAGAGTATGTACTGATTGAAACAAAAAGTCTCTAAGGACACACTGAAAAAATTATTAAAAAGTGGATAAATTTCATATTTTGCGGTTACTGGTAAATTCAAATGAACATTAATTTATAACAAATATATTGTATCATTCTTTTATTTAGATTAATCACAGCAACAATGGTGTTGATCAATATAACTGGAAAAAAAACTTTTTTCTATGAAAGATGTAGGAAGCATTAAAAGGCGATCTCCTTCCTAACTTACTAGACATTTATGCCATTACATAGGTAAACGATATCAAATGCGAAACTTTGTAAAAATTGTAATGCTTGTACTAGATTTCTAAGGAAATGCCTAGAGAGTTTTTTAACAGAACTGTCAGGAGATTCTTCTACGGAGACTTGACTATTTTGATTGTATTTGAACGAGTTTTCAAACAGAAAGCTAGCCGTCATTGGGAGATCCTCGTGAATTTTCCGACAAAATTATATGTGAACAATTTGTTTCGAAAAAAACGAAACACAGTAGGCACTATTCATTTTCTTATTCACAATACAGTAGAAAATATTAGGAATCTCAAAAATAGATTGTTGTTTTTGTGTGAAATCTCAGATATTTGCAAAGTACTTAGTGTGTCACATGTAGTTTAAATGCGAATAGAGACAGATGTCACTTTAAATTCTCTAAACTAAAGTGATGATGAAATAAAATGGAGTCAAAAATAAAAAATAAATGAAAACATGTCTCATTGATATTATTTAATAAAACAACTTCGTGTAAATGAAGATATCGACTTGTATCTTTTCTAAAGGGCATGGCCCATCGTTCTTTATCTTTTCTCGATTAATTTCAAATAAACAATATGGTAAAATTCAAGGAATTCGAGAGAATTTTAGTGAATATGAAGTTCGTTTATATTTTGATAAATGGTTGAAATCCTTATGGTTAGTTAAAATATAAAAATTTTTAATAAAATATCTTTTATTGTCCAAGAGGTTGGCACCAAAACAATGGGTTCATTTTACAAGAGATCGTTCTATTACAGTTAATCGATGTTTTCTACCATTTTGGAATATTACTTTTCGAGGATCAATTCAATGTTTTCTTAGTACAAAGTCAAATCTTCCTTTTCGAGTAAATGAAAACTCAATTTATTGAGTGAAAATTAAAATCTTTCTTTATAGCATGAAGAACATTATTATTCACATAGACAATGGCATTCATTTCCTTTACATATTGATAATGTTTATTTAAATAATATTAATATTTATGCAGCTGAAAATCTTGATACATATCATGTTCAAGCATTAGATATTTCTTTTGACAATGCTCAACTTCAGGATTTAACTCAAAACGATAATATCATTGAAAAACCTACTATTGATCAAGAAACAGCATTCAATAATGCATGGATTCTTATTATAAAATCTTTATTAGAAAATATGTGTCTTGAACAAGCAAAAAAGGTAGATATACACAAATCTTGACAACTAAACATCTCTGACAAATAACCAATGAAATAAAAATTCTTTCATTTCTTTCAACTGTATAGTGTTTGTTTTTGTCATATATTGGGAAACAAGTGTATACGGGACGATAAAGAAATGTTTATAGAATGGGTTCATAATGATTCTTCATAAAATCTGTTTCTAGTAGAGAAAGAAGAATATACAACTGTTTGAATCAAATTTTATTTCGAAATGACTTTTTATTACGATTTTCAACTATGGAGAGGTAACTCTTTGTTTTTAGTATCGTTTAAAATAAAAGATACAGTAAAGAAATAAACGGTTATCTTTTTGAGCGATTATTGCTGTTGCAAGTTTTCTAGTACCACAGAACTTATTTTCAGAAAGATTTTTATCATTAAATACATGTATTTATATTGAAACCTAGCTATCTGGGACATCGTGCAAAATTTTGACTTTTTCCTGATGTTTAGCAGATTTCGGTCATAAAGATGAAGGTAGAGTCGAAACTAATATCATATTTTGAATCAGCATACAAAACGGAGCTAACTTATTAGTATTTCAAATATTCTAAGATCTTTTTTCTTTCATCGAAAAATTTACCTATAATCCTCCTCAGGATGAGTGGGTCAAAAAAAACGAACTCCACGAAAACGCTCTTTTTATTATTTCAATATTCTTACGTTTATGTTCTACTATCATTTTACAATTTTAAAGCTTGTTTATCATTGTCGAAATCTCTTTTTTGGAAAAAATTATTTTTTGGCCTAACCATTCTGAGGTGGGAGGGAGGGGGAGGGGGGCGAGACAAGAGGAATATGGGTGAATTTTTCAATGAAAAACAAAAGATCTAAAAAATATTTGAAACATTAATAGATCAGCTCCGTTGTTTATGTTGGTCCAAAATATGATATTGGTTTTGATTCAAACTTCCTTTTTGTAACCGAAATCTGCTAAATATTAGAAAAAAAAGGAAAAGTTCATATAATCTCAACTAGCTTGTTTTTAATATAAATGTATTTATTTGATGATAAAGATTTTTCTGAACATATATTTTGTGGCTCTAGGACATTTCCAACATCATTATCGCTTGAAAAAAGAACCCTTTATTTCTTTACTTTATCTTTATTTTTTAAGGATACTTAGGCCATACCAAAAATCGTAGCGGAGGTACTTAATTCGTTATAAAAAGTTTTAAGAAAGTTTCTTTCTATATAGGCTAATTCAGAAGAGAATACTTCATTTTTCTATGTTATTTGATTATAATTCAACTAGTAACATAATAAAACACTTTCGATACGACTTGTTTTACTATGATATGTACCTGGTAGTATTAGTGTCTATTTAGTAGATATTTTGTTGGATAACTTTTGACATAAACAGGATAGAGAACTGCGGTTTTCATCGTTCGAAAGAGGAAATGAATATGCATCGAGTCATATATATTATAGGCTTTTTTTGACATCACTTTATTAAAAAGTTTTCAATGAACTTTCTTGCAAACAAGCCTACACGTGAGGTGTTTACAATGAATTCTCAATTGTCAAGTGTGTATTGAAATTGCTGATGGAAGATTTACAAAACTATAGAAGGTTTAGAGATTTAGAATGAATCATTTAGAAGTAATGGGCGTTCTAGTGCAAGTTTTAAGTGATTTTTGTAGTAATTTCTGTAAAAGATTTTCTACTGTTTCCTTTTTGATAAGAAACCATTTTCTTCACGCTTCGAAAACTGATTAAACTAACAACAGATCATATATTAGGAAAACGTATAATATATGATTCGATCCAACTTGATCTCCTCTTTCAAATGATGAAAACCAAAGTTTCCTATATTGTTTGCATCAAAAGTTATCCAAGAAAATATCTACTAAATAGGCACTAGTACTACCAGGCGCATATCACAGTAAAACAAGTCTTATTGAAAGTTTATCATTATGATATTTGTTGAATTATGACCAAATAGCATAGAACAATGAGGCATTCTCTTCGCAATCGGACTATATAGAAAGAAAGTCTCTTAAGGCTTTTTATCAAGAATTAAAGTACATGCGCCACTATTTGTTTTATATGACCCAAGTAAATAATTAATGCATCTTTATTTTATAAAATAATAGTAAAGTACCACCTCCATAACCAAGAAAATTGTTCACTAATGATTTTAATAACAGTAACATATAGAAATTAGACCAGTTTCGATTCCAACAGATCAGATTCGATCGATTGGTCACCAATATCGATTTCACTCCCATAAAAACCACAAAGAACAGAACTTTGTTATGATATGTTTCGAATGGAATTCTAACACCGCTTCTTATGAAAATGTCAATCAGACTGATAGGAGTGTTAGAATAACTGCTTTTAACAAAAATTAAAACATAAATAAGATCCTAATTTTCTAATTCTAAACGAAGAGTTTGATGTGCATCAACAAAGCAAAGATTAATCGTAAATAATTTTGAAAAAAACCTGTTAGCACAATTCCTGCACGATGAAAATGTGAAACATGACAGATCTGTATATATTATAAGTCATGAGATTCTATAACATATGTTTCGATTTGTGATTGATAGCGTACTGCTATACCTGTGATGAGAGATGCTATTCACAATTAGTCACAATAAACTTGCAAAAGGGAATCGAAGACAGGTTTCTTAAATACAATGTGCTTTCATAATAATCCAACAGAAGATTTTGGTTTTACCGCTGAGTCTGCCACAGGTAGTGATGGGCCGAATGGAGGAAGGCAAACTTCTACCTCTATACTTCATTACTCCTTTTAACTCATGTTTTACGAAGCATCATGAAATTATCAAGAAAACTCGGACATGAATTATCGAGATAAAAATGACAAACTTGACAATATAAAATAAATTCTACTAAATATAGTATTATATCGAGAGCTGATTAATGATCTCTGTCTGAAGATAAATTAGATTCAGCATTAAATTTTTTTTTTAATTTTAAACTAATATATTCTGATATTTGTATAGCTTTTCCTGAATTTTTTAAGCTGGACAAGATCAAACTAAATCAAAACCAAGATTCGTTTAATATGCTATTCTGAGTTATCCGGTTTTTAAACAACCAACAATCTAATCATGAAACTGACAAAATCTCTTGTATTGATAAGAAATCTAATTGAATACCATATTAATTTTGATGATGATAATTTTGAAAAAAGTCTAATCAATACAGATTCTCTTCGTATTGAAATTAAAAACAGAAAAAATTAAACTAAAAATCTTAATTTCAATATTCATGTCGTCGACAACAGTGTCAAACACATGTGCTAGTTAATTTTGTTTAAGACCCCTCCCCCCCACCCCTAAAAAAAGTCAATTTTCGTCAAAAATTCCGAAATTGAGATAAATACATGGGGTGATAGCCCGTCATCTGCTCTTTCATAAACGATAATTTGTTTTTCTCGTTATTTCATTTTTTCCAAAAGATTTTCAAGATTTCCGTCAACCCCTATTTGAAAAATCCGCGGTTTTTTGAAAAATCAAAAAATGTTTTTCGTTTTTTCTGTTTCCGTTTTCTTAAAAGCGCATCCCAAATTTCTCCTTCCTGGTTTGTTCAATATATTAATATTTTTTTTTTGTTTGAAAAAGTATCTCAAGGCGCAGGACACACGGAAGCCGCTTTTTTAAAGTAAGTCTTTGCTTGGTCAATATACAGCCAGTTATGTCATTTGGTTACGATTTTTTGACACTTTTTTCAGTCATTGAACCTTTGATCCCTTTTTTGCGCTTAAAAAAGGACTATTTCAAAAAAGCGACTTCCGTGTGCCCTGCGTCTTGAGATGCTCTTTTCAACAAAAAAAAATATGAATATATTGAACGAACCAGGATCGAGAAATTTGGGATCCCAAATGAGTCATTTTTGACCCTTGTTTAGCTCATATCTCTCTGAAACCTGAAGATTTCGGGCTGAAAATTGTATGGTAGTCTCTCCTTTCTAGTCTCAACATACTCTGAAAGTTTCATCTAATTTGGATGTTTCTGGGTGGAGATCGATTTTTGAGGGGAGAGGCTTAATAATATGTACTAAAATATAAAACAAAGTATACAAACTTTTCCACTTTCTTTTCAATATTTCTTTGTCAAGAATTATATCATTGTTTTAATTCATTACATAGGTCTATCCAAGATTCGATGAACTTCGAATTGATTCATTACATTTAAAAATAATATCGAAACAAGAACGTCTCTTATATTATCCAGTTTATATAATTAATTATAATTATAAATCTCAAATAAAGTATACATGTTTATTCGATGGATTAACTGGTCATATAGCTGGTGATAGACAATATTCAATAATAAAAGTAACATTAGCAACATTTATGGGATTTTATCCAATGATCAAAATTGGACTTTTTTGTATTGGTTCATTTGCGAATTTATTATTTGCATTTGAAATTGCATCTGATCTTAGTTTTAGTGTTTCTCTTCCTATTGCTATGATTGTTGCGCCTTGTGTAGGATTTTATGCACATTCATTTCCAAAATTATATAAACAAGAAATTCGTCAAGTACAATGGAAACAAGATCAATCGAAAGTATTAAACTTTAGTTATGCTTTTATAGATTCTATCGAACAAGCAAAGTTTGTTTTAAAAATTATTGCTGTCTATTCTATTGTTCTTGTCATTATGCATTTTTTGTATTTTAGAAAACACTCGGCTTTCGAACATGACCAAACATCAATTGATTTATCTATGAATATAAAACTGCATCAAAAGATTAAATCTGCATAAAAGCAACATAGTGATTCAAATTGAAATATTAAAAGAGTTGAGAAATTGGACCATTAAATATATTTTATTCTTTCCGACAACTATAAATGAAAATATAGCAAAAGAAAAGTAACATAATTTTTTCTATTCATTTTCTATTTTCAATATTTTATTTTCATTTGACTGATGTCTTTACTCTTTGATTATTTAATTGTCGTGAGATCCATTTGGACTTATACTGCGAAGATGTTGTAGAACTTTAGTTTTCGTTTCCATCCTTCCTTTCATGAATTAGAGTCATACGTCTGAAGTACATTCTTTTTATATGAATGTAATGGTAGTCATTTCAACAATAAATGAAATATAGAGGTCAATTTTTTTTAAGTGTTTCAACAATGTAGCAGTGAAATAAATCGTAAACGACATATCAAAATTGAAGAATCTTTGGTATTCAAGAAAGAAATGGCATTCATTATTCTCCATGACGGCACATAGGTGCGTTTAAAACAGAAACTAAGGTGATTGCATAGGGCAGGACTCACAAAACTCAAAATCGTTTCTGTTAGAACATGATTGTCGTAGAATTCGAGTGAATCTCTCTTTTGAATTTTTGCATTCGAAGTTGATTCGCAAAATTTCACATCGGCTTAGCATTCACGATAGATTAGTAACTAGAAAATGGAAAGATGTCGTAATATCCATAGCTATTAGGTTATTCACTTAATGAATACGCGGCATTCACATGCCGTTAAATTAACCATCTTGAATGAATATGATGCCATGAGATGGATACCAAACTCGATACTCATATATCTTCAGAGTTTGGCACATAGAGGCAATGTTGTGGGATAGGTCTTATCTTGATATCCCTTCAAGTCCGGAGACGCACATACACTTATACCTAGATCTACACCCAGCATCCAAATCCATGCTACCATCAAAATTCACGATCTTACTCATATCCATGCTCTCATCGGCACCCACATGCACACCTGCACCCATGTTCTCACCCCTACTTACATCCAACTCGATACCCATATATGGGTATCGATTTTGTGGAACTCACATATATTTTTGAAGAAAATAGTGAGTGTAAGTTTCAAGATCAAGCTTTCGCATCTCCCCCGCCCCCGCCCCCCCCCCACCCCCCCCCCCACCCCCCCCCCCCGCGTGATTCCCCCCCCGTCGTCTGTCCTCACCCGTCCTCGTACTGATCGCATNCAACTATCTGTCCGTGCAACATTTTGTCCATGCAACATTTTGTCCACGCAACATTGTGTCCATACAATATTTTGTCCTTGCAACCATTTGTCCATGCGACGTTTTTTCTGCAACCATTTGTCCGCGACATTTTGTCCGCAACGATATGTCCGCGACATTTTGTCTTGCAACGTTTTGTCCTGCGACATTTTGTCCATGCGACATTTTGTCCGCAACACTTTGTCCGCGACATTTTGTCTTGCGACATTCAGTCCGGTCACCGCCCTATCATATGATGATTATTGAAATTAATAATAAATATTATCTTGCCGTACTTCAGCAATTTCCAAGAATAGATATTTTAACATCGATTAGTCCTGCACAAGAATGTATTCCTACTGAACAACTAATCAATTCTACAATATTGCAAAAGCATCCATATGAACGAATCGTATCTTACTATGCTCTTTGTGGAGAACGTCACGATTTGACTTGTTTTGTTGACGAAAACTTCTTATGTTTGTGTACAAATGATCATCATGCTAATTGTTTGACATTTAATCGTTATAAAGATTTTCAGTGTCCATTGAAAAATTATTGTAAAAATGAAGCAAAGTGTTTACAAGATCATCCATCTTGTCCATCTACAAGAATTTGTGTTTGTCCCAAATGTTTCTTTGGTAATCAATGTCAATTTTATGCAAAAGGTCTTGGTTCAACATTAGATGAAATCTTAGGTTATGAATTTAAAAATAATATAATGTTATCTAAACAACCTTTCACAGTAAAAATGAGTGCTATTATCACAATGTTGATATGTATAATAGGTATCATTAATGCTATTTTATCAATAATAACTTTCTTAAGAAAACAAACACGAGAAGTTGGTTGTGGAATATATCTCTTAGCATCATCAATTACTTCATTATTAACTATGGCCTTATTTACAGTTAAATTTTGGTTTCTTTTTCTTTCTCATCAAGATATCTTGAGTGAAAATGGTCAAAATATTATTCTTCATGCTAATTGTATGGTTATTGAACCTGTACTAAAAATCTCTTTATACATTGATAACTGGTTTAATGCTTGTGTAGCTATGGAACGAACAGTATCTGTATTTCAAGGAATTAGTTTTAACAAGAATAAAAGCAAACGAGTTGCTATATCTATAGTGATAATATTGCCGTTTATCATGACTGGTCTTTTCATTCCACAATTAATTAATCTTCGTTTATTTGAAGATCAAATTGAAAAACGAAGTTGGTGTGTTATCATTTATTCGCCATGGCTACAAAAGTATAGTTTGACTTTAATTTTTTTTCATTACTTTGCTCCACTATTTATCAATATATTCTCAGCTCTATTCATCATTATAGCAAATGCTCGTCAACGAGCTTCCAGTAAAACTGATCATACTTTCTGGACCCATATTATATTTAAGTTAAAACAATATAAGCATCTTATAATTAGTCCTACTATAATTATAATTTTAACACTACCTCATTTAATCATTTCAATTATATTAGATTGTAACAAATCATCGAACTTGTTTTGGTTCTATCTTATCGGTTATTTTCTTTCATTTATTCCAGCAGCATTAGTTTTTATAATTTTCATTCTACCATCAACACTTTACAAACAAGAATTTAAGAAAATAATATTTCCTGCTCAGCAACATTTTGATGTATTAAAATTTATTCCTACAAAATTTTGATGTTTCATAGTATTCGACATCAAAATTTTTCTGAATATTGACAAAATCAATATTTGATTGAATACATGAGATGATTTTCTTTAAAGAACTAATCCACTTACTTATCATTGTGTGCAAACGTTCATTCTATGCTTTTGCTTTTCACATTATGACATTATATATTCTCAATTATAATATATATTTTTGAAAACTTGTCTTATTGATTTGAAGATTTTTATTGATAATAAAGTGTCGTTGGTTTAACATAAAGTATATATATTATCGACTTGAGCTTGATATAACTTGTTATGGTTGAATTATAAAATGATTTTCATATATTATTTGTATTCTTATTGAAATTATTTGTTCAAAACATGTAGAACGTTTTAAAGTACTCAGAGAAAAGATGTTTCTCAGATGACGATTTATCATTCAATTCTGATTCTAACATAAAATTATGATGTATGATTTTTTATGTCTTGATTCTAATGATGCCATTGGCTTGTGTTCAATGTCTAGCAAATCATTAGTCACAATAGTTCGAACCAAAAGAATTCGAAATCTCTCGATTACTTTTTTTGCGGTAAACATCCGATAATAATGAGCTACAATTGAAAAGTCTTTAGAAGTTCTGCTTCTTACGAGGAGAGATCACCAACTATTCAATCACTTTTTACTCGTCACCTAGTGTTTGTATAGGTAATCGATCATGTTGATTCTTAATATCTCAATGGTTTGAACCGCTATCCATGCAGAAAATACGACTCAAAATTAGATTATAATGGATTGTTTTCGTATTAATAATCTATTATAATGGCACTATTTTAATCTGATAAAAATCAGATTTTCTAGCATTAAAAGAAAAAATTATTTTGATTTTAATCTGATTTTTTTGGACCTCTATTTTTACATGGGTAAGTCTACAGCAGTCTACTGTTGAAAACTCGATTTACCAGGCAATAACCATTTTTTTACGCCAAAATGTTCATTCTTTTTCTGTCCACATGAAAGAACACATCGAAAAACCCAAGAGGGAACAAACTGATTACTGTGCCTAGAAATCACTAGAAATCATTGGAAATCACTGGAAATCACTAGAAATCACTTTAAAAGCTTAAGTATAGAAATACTGAGCAGAAGTGATTAAAAAATGTTGCAAACCATCAAGATCTATTAGAAAACGTGAGAAATCACCAGAAATCAATTTTAATCATAGAAACCTTCTACTAATAAACTTAAAAATATAACCCTGATTCCTAGTGATTTCCGATGATTTCTTTGATTTTTTTTAATTCCAAATGTTTGTCGATATGTCATGTGGTTGCTCTTGACTTTTGATGATTTCTGGTGATTTCTCTTCATTTTTAAGCATTTTCTATAATTCCTATCGATTCACGATAAATATAGAAAAACTTATTTCTAGTCATAAAAGTCACTAAAAATCATCATATATCATCAGAAATCCCTGGAAATCATTAGAAATCACAGAAATCAAGAAATCAGTTTGTTCCCCCTTGGCAAAACCTATAAAAACATATTTACTTCATTTTCTGAATGGTTATTAAGGCTGCCGCAATCGTTAAGAGTTTCCATGTGTCAAAGTTTTGAACGTATGATGTCTTATTTATTTTTTCGAAAACTTTTTTCACGTTCAGTTGGCAAAAATATGGTACGTAATGGACGTATAGAAAGTATTGTAGAGATGTAAGGTGATCGAGTGAATATATATGTTTTTTTTTCAACTTTTCACGACCTAATCATACAAATGAAACGACAACACGCATGCAACACACCGCACCAAGTGTCTATTAGTCGTGAAACCTATATTTGGCGAGATGCTGTGTGTGTGTGCATTCGTATGATTACCACTATTGTTTTTGGAGAAATTGGTGAATAACATCACACGTTAACTGGAATATTTTTTATACCTCTAATACCTCCTATATCTCTTACAATTCCTATAACCCTATTACACATTGTATCTAGATGAACTGAAAGTGAAATTAATTCTTAGAAATTCAAGCAAGGAATCACATGTTAAAAGCCTTGACACACGGAAATTTTCAGAGATTATAACACCCTTAATAACCGTTCAGAAAACCAGTGAAGTATGTTTTCATAGGTTTTTCAATGTCCTCTTCCATGTAGACAGATAAAAAAAGGTTTTGGCTCAAAAACCTTTATTAACTAGATAAATGAGTTTTACAGAAACCGAACACTGGACACTTGGCGGCTAAAACCATTGTGATATTTTGAATCAGCATGACAGATTACCTTTGAACCACTAGGTTTTTTAGCAAAAAACATTTGAACAGTTGATAGCCTTTCCTTCTTAGATATCGTCAGAAGCAGTGATTGGACAAGTACAAGTACAGTACGCACTAGTACAAATACTTTTCACTTAAGAATTATATTTCGCACTTTTACTCAAGTTCATTTAGTTAAGTCAGCTTGTACTTAGTACCGATACTATAGTACATTCTACTAAAGTAGAATATACCGTAGTACCGGTATTGAACACAAATGTACTTACGAGGGAACCTCCCCAAGTGATACTCTCGGTTTGGGCTCATATTTTGCCTGTAGGTAGGACNGCAAAAATATGGTACGTAATGGACGTATAGAAAGTATTGTAGAGATGTAAGCTGATCGAGTGAATATATATGTTTTTTTTTCAACTTTTCACGACCTAATCATACAAATGAAACGACAACACGCATGCAACACATCGCACCAAGTGTCTGTTAGTCGTGAAACCTATATTTGGCGAGATGCTGTGTGTGTGTGTGCATTCGTATGATTACCACTATTGTTTTTGGAGAAATTGGTAAATAACATCACACGTTAACTGGAATATTTTTTATACCTCTAATGCCTCCTATATCTCTTACAATTCCTATAACCCTATTACACATTGTATCTAGATGAACTGAAAGTGAAACTAATTCTTAGAAATTCAAGCAAGGAATCACATGTTAAAAGCCTTGACACATGGAAATTTTCAGAGATTATAACACCCTTAATAACCGTTCAGAAAACAATAAAGTATGTTTTCATAGGTTTTTCAATGTCCTCTTCCATGTAGACAGATAAAAAAAGGTTTTGGCTCAAAAACCTTTCTTAGCTGAATAAATCAGTTTTCCAGAAACCGAACACTGGACACTTGGCGGCTAAAACCATTGTGATATTTTGAATCAGCATTACCGATTACCTTTGAGCCACTAGGTTTTTTAGCAAAAAACATTTGAACAGTTGGTAGCCTGTCCTTCTTAGATATCGTCAGAAGCAGTGATTGGACAAGTACAAGTACAGTACGCACTAGTACAAATACTTTTCACTTAAGAATTATATTTCGCACTTTTACTCAAGTACCTTTAGTTAAGTCAGCTTATACTTAGTACCGATACTATAGTATATTCTACTAAAGTAGAATATACCGTAGTACCGGTATTGAATACAAATGTACTTAGTACAATTTACCTAGGTACATTATAGTCAAGTACAATGTGCTTAAGTACCATGTTGTGTTCTGCTTTGATTAGTATTACTTTATCAACGTCAACCATTTTTGTAGTGTAACGACATATGTAGTAGTAGAAATCTTAGTTGGTAGAATCTTCATTACCATATTTTTATATGCATTGATATTAAAACCGATACTGTTTATGGGGTTTTCAATTATCGTGAATAAAAGTAAATGGTTGAAGTGAAAATCAGAAAATCATATAAATCAGAAGCCAATTGGCGTGCGATAAGGAAATGCTTTTCATTTGACACAAATTGTGGTGCTCAGAATCAATCGCTAAAAAATCCACATTTGTGGCAACGGTACGTTATTGTTTGCCACCATTGTTGGTGCCTTGAATAGATCACTAACAAAATTTCTCATTTGTGATGAAATAAAAAACTTAATTAGTGTTGGTGACCTAATAGGAACTTTAACTTAGGCAGTTTTAAAAATAAAATAAATGTACAAGAACAGCAACTGGTGACCAGATTATGTTAAAAAAACAGGTACTAGTGATTAATTCTTTCGTTTTGAACCCTGAAACAATTATAGGATCTCATCACTTGACTATATCTATCGACACAACGAATCCATTTTAGAAAAACTGGTCACCAGTTTCCATTTTTTAAACACAATCTGGTCTCCAGTCTCAATTCTTTCAAAAAAAAGTGGTTGCTGGTTTGATTTATTCTGATAAATTTGATAACCAGTTCCAGTTGCTTTAAGAACAACTGCTTACCAGTAGAATTCTTCCAAAAAGAACCGGTGATCACCTTCAGCTGTTTATTGTAATCTGGTCACTAGTTGCTGTTCTTGAACATTTATTGTATTTTTTATTTCATCACAAATGAGGAATTTTGTTAGTGATTGATTTAGGACACCAAAATTCGTGGCAAACAATAAAGTACCGTTGCCACAAATGTGAATTTCTTTAGGAATTGATTCTGGGCACCACAATTTATGGTAAATGATAACCCATCTGATAAACAACGAGAACTTTGATTGTTTTGACTTAAACCACAACAACGAATATTTATCTTTAGTGACCCAACAACTAATTTTAAATGCTTCTTTTCTGAATCTTCGTCAAAAGCTAATAGCTGGTGAATTTTTGGAAAAAAATTTCGATTTTTCTTCAATTGACCACAACAGAATTAATGAAGTCTGTGAGGTATAAGTGTTGGGATTATTGTTCAGAGTATTAACCCATACTCACACCCTTAGATATTTGTTGTTATTTTTAAAGATTATTTGGAAAAATTTCGTTTCATCCACTTTTCACGACTTTAAAGTCGTTGTGAAGTTACTAAGTATGTTCAATAGGTAGGAGATACTTAGAACCGGATGTGAAGAAGAAAAAAAACAAAAATGAACAATTTAAAAATGTTCAGATAGGAAATAGAGCATCCTATTAATTACATTTGTACTGTAGTACCGGTACTAAGTACAACCGGACTAAAGTAAATGTACATAAGTAAAAGTAAAAAGTACAATTGTTAAGTAAAAAGTACAC